GTCTGACCTGACCCGCAGTTTTCCGTCCGGTGCGGCCGACCATAATATTGGCCCGGGAGTTTGACGGTCAGACACCGCCGTCGTGCAAATTAACAAACTTTTAATTGTTGTTGTTGTTGCTTTTGAGACGCAAAAAGGGGGGGGGGGGACCAAGACAAGAAGATTTTCAGTGCATCCCATCCAAAGAAAGCGTGATACACTAGGTGCAATTCATAATTTTGTTTTCGCAGTTCTTGGAAGATAGAGAAAAATTCCAACAATACTATCGCATGAAACATATGTTTCAATGAACTGCTAGAGACAATTATGCAGAGCTGACCAAGAACTGCTAGAATTCTGTGTGGTGTGACAAGTGGTGTCATTGAGGCGGGAAAGGGGACACAAATATGCAAAGAGAACATAATTAAAATTACGTCCCATCTCCCCCGACATGTTTTCTCGGAGGCGGTCTGACCGGGGACGACACAGGACGTTGGGCGTCAATATGGTAGCCGGGGACGACACAGGACGTTGGGCGTCAATATGGTAGCCGAAATCGTTTGGGTTTTTTTTGGGGTTACCTTCCGTAACTAAAGAGCCGGTGCGCATTCTTTTGTGCCCGAAGACGGTCTGGTCTGACCATCCCTGTCCGGCTTAATATGGTTGCAGCATAAATGTCATAACGGGAAGAACAGCAGCCTGAGATTAATGGAGAGAAGAAGGAAGAGGGAGGTAAGAAAGTGAAGACAAAGCAGCGTAACATGAGTACATGGATACGTTGACATTCCTGTTTGACAATGTAATATGAGTATATCTGGAATACCTGGATGGAGGTGTCATCTCTGACTCAGAGGTTGACGTGTAATGACCCTCCATCCTTCACGGTCACAAGCTGTGTTTGCATATTATTCTGCTATACCCAGGCCAGTCCATGTTTTCATGTTGTCTATCCATGTCACTCTTTGTCTGCTCCTGGCTCTCCTGCCTCGAATCAATCCTTCAAGCACCTTTTTCACAATGGTCTGGTGTCGTTTTAAGTGACCAAGGTATTGTATTTTTCTATATTCTATTTTCAAGCAGGGTTTGTTTTGCAGAGAATCTGACACAGCTCACAATATTATTCTTTTATTGCGTTCCAGCTTATTTTGGCAATTCTGCGGTAGCACCACATCTAAAACGCAACTATCTTGCTTTCTTCTTTCATTGTTTAAATCCATGTCTCAGCGCTGAGTCCCGAAGCTGTGTCCTTGGAAAAGCCAGTTTACAAGAATTTTCCTCACCTCACCCTTTGTGGGAGTGGGTATCTGGCTTCAGGCGACGAAAGATCTCGTCAGCTTGTTCGTGTTTGAGCGCTTAATCTGCCGCTTGCGTCCTGCGCTTCTCGGGAAGCTGGGAATATTTCTGGGTGTTCTAAGATCTGTTTGATGATAACAGTTGTCAAGTGCACAGAGCTTGCTGTTGATCATGGATGTGCGCTATATCATTATCATTATT